AAAACCGTATATTCCCTTCCTGTTCTCCGGCCCGTTCGTGCATTCTTTCCAAAAATCGGGACTTTTTTAAAACGTGGCGGGACGCGGGACAAATTGTTGAAAAGTGGAACGTCTGGTCACCCTATTTTAAGCCCAAATGACATGCTACTATTTCATATAATATAAAAGTTTTCTTTTGTTTGTTAGACTGTTAACAGGAGAGTGTCATTAATCAAGTTGTCACTGTAAATTAAATATCACTTCTGATGATAATATGGTTGTTTTATAACTATAGAACATATATTGATAGGAAAAGAGTGGCCCAGATGCCTGCAGGGGACAATGAGTGACAATTTCAAGTGCACTGACCTGCCTCCTGTTAGGCTTTCTCTCCTCTAAAGACAAAACAACATTATGTCGCTCTGAGAATCTCCAATTCTTAGGAGGCAAAGTATCAACAGAGCCTAGAGTTCATTTTAGAGCTAGATGTTCTAAAGCCCATCCTGAGTTATTCCATGGAGTTGAGACTCTTAAGATAATGCCCTGATACACAGTTAACACATTAGTGACCAGTCTTAAGTTACCTAGTAACACGGACAGTTTCTGTGTGAAATTGCCAGTCAACGATATGTTAAGATCTTAGAGGCACTAAGTGATTCTACATTATAAGATGCTGAGAGATGAGAAGGGGAGAAAAGAATAAAATAGGCTGAATTTAGGACAACTGGGAATTGAGAGGGGGAGACATGAATCAGGGAACAGCTGCTATGTGAAGACCACACCTGCATTTCCACTCTTCAAAACAGTCTGCCATTGTTGTCTCTGGACTATCTCAGGCTAGGCTGACAAATTAGCACCTACGTTTCTTTTTCATTTTCTTTTTTTTTTTTTTTTGAGACAGAATTCACTCTATTGCCCTAAGCTAGAGTGCAGTGGCATCGGTCTAGAATACTGCAACCTTAAAGTTCAAGACCCCTGCCTCAGCCTCTGAGTAGCTGAGACTACAGGCACTCACCATATGCCTAGATAATTTTTCTATTTTTAATAGAGATGAAATCCCACTCCAGCTCAGCCTGCCTTTTTTTTTTTTTTTTTTGAGACAGGAGCCTCAAGCTGTCCCCCGTAGGTAGAGTGCTGTGGCATCACAGCTCACAGCAACCTCCAACTCCTGGGCTCAAGTGAGTCTCCTGCCTCAGCCTCCCAAGTAGCTGGGACCACAGGTGCCCACCACAACACCTGGCTATTTTTTGGTTGCAGCTGTCATTGTTGTTTGGTGGGCCCGGGTTGGGTTCGAACCTGCCACCTTGGGTGTATGTGGCTAGCGCCTTAGCCCCTTGAGCCACACGCTCCGAGCCTCAGCCTGTTCTTAAACTCCTGAATTCAAGTGATCCTCCTACCTCAGCCTCCCAGAGTGCTAGGATTACAAGTGTAAGCCACAGCACCTAGCCCAGCACCTGAGCTTTTTAGGATAAGAGCTTTTGATTCTCTACTAAAAAATAAAACAAAACAAAATCAAGCTTGAAAGGAAGAAGGAATATTTGCTTGTAATGTAATAAACATGGACAACCTTCCCCCCTTTTATAGTTTATTCAAACAAAATTCACAAGAGACTATAATTCACATCTGGATAATTAAGAATTGATATTACTCCTGCATTCAGTAATGTAGATAATAAATACTTATTATCTTCACATACAAAGAAAAATGAATAAACTGCCTATAATAACAAAGCATTTAAAAAATGATATTTACTCTCAGTACATAGAAAGGAGGCTGAGAGGTTTATTTATTCTGTGGCAATATTGTGGAATTATTATTATTATTATTATAGTCTCACCATGTTGCCCAAGTTGAACTCAAGCTTCTGGACTCAAGTAATCCTCCAGCCTCAGCCCCCTGAGTAGCTGGGACTATTGTAGGATGCTTTTAAAAGTGAAATATATTGAAGCGTTTAGAAAACTGTGCATAGTAATAGCATTATACTGTGAATTTTATTTTCATTAATAAGGAGGCAAATAATAAAGTTAAGCAGTCAAAAGAAGTATCAAAAACTGGACATTCGTATATACAGAAGAAGAGCATAGATTCATTTCTACTTCATTCAATTCTCTATACACATTTGAAATATAAAATACATCTTAATTTGCCAATTTGACCGCATTTAGCACCAAGAAAGAAACATTTATGTTAGCTTCTGATCATGACATCAACATCCTAGAATAAAAAAGGAAATTTAATGGACTCTAGATGAATTATTGTCATCAATAAAAAATTAACTTTGAAAAGTAACTGCTGTACATCATCAATCATAAATGGTTCAAAGGGATTAAAAGCTTAAAACTGTACTACTTGATGTTGCGGACAACTCTCCTGCAGTGGTTTGTTTTCATCTCTTCCAATGCTTGTTCCAGTTGTTGAACCAAATGGAGCAGGGTGGCTGGGTCCGTCTGCAGGACATTCGTATTTTGACTTCCATTGTGATTAAGATGTAGCTTAATAGTCACTGCTGGTTTAATCTGTTGCCTGAGACTTCTGCTTGCAAGCTTGATTTTACATAGAAAAGAGCACAATAACTATTTAATAGTCATGCTGAATATGTAATATTTATAATTGGCTTAAAGCATATACAAAAATTAAATTTCAGATGAATTACAGACTTCAAAAGGAACACCAAAAGTAAACTTTAAAACTTTTGGAGAAGAAAAAAATGAGAATATATATGAAAACTTACAGTATGGAAATTTTCTTAAACGTGGATTATTATTTTTTTTGAGACAGAGTCTCATTTTGTCTCCCTCAGTAGAGTGCTGTGGTAGCACAGCTCACAGCAACTCCAACTCTTGGGCTTAGGCGATCCTCTTGCCTCAGCCTCCCAAGTAGCTGGGACTACAGGCGCTCACCATAATTTTGTTGCAGTTTGGCTGGGGCCAGGTTCAAACCTGCCACCCTCGGTATATGGGGCTGGCACCCTGCCCACTGAGCCACCGGTGCCGTCCATTAAACATGGATATTTTGTAATACATATTTAACTAAAAAAATTTGTATCCAGAATGTATGATGAACTAATCTGATTTAATAAAACCCAAGAGAAAAATGTACAGAAAATCTGAATAAGCTCTTTACAAAAGAGGACAAATGGATAAATGCAGGATAATATGTTCAACTTTATTAGACATCAGGAAAATGGCCAACTAAAATGACATGAAATACTATTTCACATATATGAGATTAACAAAAATTATAACTCTGTCCATAGAAAGCATCGCAAGTGACAGCAACGGGAACTCTTATCCATTGCGGGTCAAACTGGTGACAAAATCACTTTGGAAAACAGCATGCATTACCAGCAATTCCACTCTTAGGTACACACCTTCAACACTTACACATACACTTATTCACAATAACATGTGTCCAAGAAATACAAATTAGAAGCATCTCAAATACTACCTAACACCACAATGAATTACCTGAGAAAAATCATACAATGAATTACTTACTAAGTGGCAATGCAAAGAAATGAACTACAGCAACATGAATTATCATAGAAAAAAATAAAATAAAATGTTAAAAGCAAGTCACAGAATACTTACAAATTAAAAAAAATAAGTTTAGTGATAAAATATATGATAAAATCTATAAATAAAAGATTGACAGAAAATTCAGAATAATCATTTCCTATAGGAAAGGGTTATAAGTGGGGGAAGGTCAGGTGTTTCAAAGGTACTGGCTTTGTTTTATTCATTAAGGTTGATGGTGGGTAAGGTGGCATTTGTTTTGTATTCTTTAAACTAAAAATCTATAACCTTTTGTTTGTAGGATACATTTATAATTAAAAAAAATAAAGGCCAGGCGTGGTGGTTCACGCTTGTAATCCTAGCACTCTGGGAGGCTGAGGTAGGTTTGAGACCAGACTGAGCCAGAGCAAGACCTTAACTCTAAAAATAGCTGTG